CTCGCGGTGGTCTCGGGTGCCTCCATGTCGTCTAGCTCTTTGACCGTTGGAAGGAAGGGCTCTTCGACCAGTGTGAAGTTGTTCCATCCTGTGGCAAACCGACGGAAGGATGTTTGTGTGCTTTTGCCGGGAAGCGCTCTGTCGGAGAACGACAAACCCTCGGCCTGTGATGTCCGGGAATAGGAGGCACTCCACCACCTCCATCAGAGTGATGAAAAGGAGCTTCATCGCCCTCAAGCTGCAGAGGTTCTTTGCCTCTGCGAGCTTTCGAAGTGGGACCTTTGCCCGGCCAATTCACAACCATGCAACCAGAAAATTTGGAGCTAAAGCAACCAACTGAGAAGCTTCTGAGTAGATTCCCCCGCTGAGCATAAGTGCTTGAGCAGGCAACCCTGGGGACGAAGCCTTCCGTCTAAGTGCTAGCACTTTGGCACCTTCCTACATCTATAGGCCATCCAGCACCGATGAAAGCTCGTTGAGAACGCTGAAAAAACATGTTCACATCGGGGCCCTAGGCAGGTCTCACTTCCTGGACGGAGCCAAAGCAGCGAGCGAAGGCAAAGCTTCCGCTTCAGGGAGCCATTGAGGATATGCGGGGGCTTCGGGCTTGTGTTGAAGCCGGACATCAGAACATCTTCGAGGAGGTGAGAGGGGACAGTGGCCGGAGTCAAACTTGACGGACATGCGAAGCATGCGAATGCATCGGACGACAGCGATGCTTCGGTGGAGGAGCCCAAATATCCGACTCGCAGATCTTGAACATCTTCAGTTGCCAGCCAAAGATACTGACAGAGCCCCCCAAGCCTCAAACGCTCAACCTCAAACGATAAACCACCTGATGTTGCCGCACCCACAGGTTCCAACGTGGCTTGTAAGCCGAAAATCGCCCCAAAATTGGCATTCCTGCCCCACCCAGCCCGAAAGAGAAAGGTGCAGGCCCTTTTTGCTTACGCGATGGGATTTTGGAGCCGCCGGCCGCCGCCTCGAGGAGCCGCTTTGGGAACTTCTCACCGTTGTCCGGCCTTGCGGCCTTGGTAGACAGTAACGCAGCACAATGCAACAGAAAATCACATGAAGTAGGCATAGTACAACATATTATCAGCGCAGTCCTCGAGGTCCGAAACCACGACGGACCCAAGAGAAACACCAAAACCTTCAATTGCATATATGCTACAGCAGTGGCCCCTTTTTGAACGCTTAAGCCTGCGCTCGAAGAAGGTGAGATCTACACTCCAGACAAGTGCTGATGTTCGGACTCCAGCACGGCGCGCAGCGACCTCTGCTTTGTCGGCAAGCCCCCAGAAGCACTCAGGAAAAGGCCACCAGAAAACCCCGTGGGCCTGTTTAGCCAGGAGTGGAAGCCCCGAGCTCTCTCCCCCAAAAGAGCGTCATACACCGTCCACTCCGGGCCGGGCCTCGGATCAAAGGCCAACGCGCCCACCCGCCAGCGGCGCATCGAAGGCGGTTTCCGTGAGCTGCTTCTCCTTCCCAAGAAGTCGGGAAGATGTCCTTCTCTCGCCCACCCGGCAGCGGCGCACCGAAGGCGGTTTGCACGGGTTTCCGTGAGCTTCTTCTCCTCCTTCTCGCCTTTAAAAAAGTCGGGAAGAGCTCGGCTGGAGCAGGGGAGCGCCAAGTTGGGAGATTCTGTGTGTACAGCGGTACCGCACCTCTCTACGAGGCTTCTTGGGCATCTTTCGCATGACTCTAAGCTCGCATGGATGGGATCACGAGGAGCCCTGAAGGACGGACTTCCTTCAGAATCAGAAGCCGCACAGGTGGGATCACACGGGGGCCTCCACTTCGCCACATCGACGCCCCTCTTTGAATGAAAAGGAATTCAGAGCAGCAGCACCCGGGCCTCGGATCACCAAAAGGAGGAGCTCCTTTGCGGCCTCCGGCAGCGCATCGAAGGCGGTTTCCGTGAGCTGCTCCTTCTCTTCCAAGCCTGGGCCGGGGTTTGTGTGGGAAAGCCCAAGATGCTTTGACAAGGGCGAGGCGTCGGGAAGAGCGCGGCTAGAGAGGAGAGCAGCTAAAGTAATGAAATATGACTCTGAGGTTGCCCGATGGCTCAGAATACCCACCAGAACTGGGGATAGCTGATTTGCCCCAGCGCAAATTGCGAGTTTGAGGGCACGATCCACTCTAAGATAGCACCACCGCAGCCACTGCGCCCTTAAAAAGAGAGTCCTTTCGGACACTCCCGAGGCCCGGGCATGGCTGCCCGTTGGGTCGCAGAGTGCCCCCAATTCTGCCGGAAGCTTCGCAGGCTCTCAGCCACGGCTGCTGCGCCTGCATCACCTGAGGCGGGGGACGAGAGAGGAGGGGCCCCCGCGGTCGCTCCAGGGCAGCGTTGGGCTGTATGAGGTTCTACTCACCTCAGACTCGGCTGACCAAGACATAAAGCTATCGGATGCTGGCCCGGGATCTGATCCAAGAGTGAAGCCCCGCAACGACCTGCGGTTTAGGGTTCAGGGTTTGGCATGCATTACAGGCCAAATCCCTTGGACTCCTTCGTGCCATCACCAGCTCCTGCAGGCTTCAATGCATCCAAGGAACCATGAGGTTTGCAAGGGCGGCCGTTTCCGGCGGGATGCAAACAATGAGATGCCCCTCAGAGTCCCTATATCGATACAGCACACTCTCCCCTTTATCGCAACTCTTTCAAGCACCCTCAAGAGAACCGGCTCACGAAGCTTATTGTCACTAAGATCCCTATATATCATTGAACCCTTAACAGTAACCCTTACAAGAACCCTTTAAAGACCCCTTTCAAGAAAACCCCAAGAGCCAGAAGCAAAAAGCGGAGGCGAGTGGCGGACTCCAGGCGCCTCCGGCGTCTGCAGCCACCACGACGGTGCCTCGTCGTCAGCTCTTAGGGTTTCTTCAACGGGGTACTAAAAGGGTTCCCTGTAAGGCGGGCATGCAAAACATGCAGCTAGATTTGAGGAACCCTCAGGACTTCTGCACCCGAATCCACTTCCCTCGCAAAGCCTAGAAGCCACATGGCTCGCAGAAGTGCCAAGCTACAGGGGCAACATCATGGGGCGAAGGGGCCGAAGGTTAAACCCTAAACCATGCGTTATAGGGTTTAGGGTTTAGGGCAGATTCGAGAAGATGTCTTCCCATGGTCAACCCTGCCCTGCCCTCTGTGCCTCCGCAGCTGTGGCGCCAGTGATACGATCTCCTGCAGATGAGTTTCGGGTTTGAGGGTGCAGCAAACAACAACAATCGTTGTCGAAGTGCCTTGCGCCGTTGCGTTCGGAGGAGATTCCATTCCAAGAACCCCTTTTAGACCATCGGGATCTGGGTTGGGCAGGGAGAAGAAAGCTGAATTCGCTGTATTCACTGCTGCGCTCACCGACTTGGGAGGGTTTAGTAGCGCCTTAACAGGCGTTTAAGGCTCTAGGGTTTCACAGCTTAGGGCTTGGGGTTAGGACTTAGGAGTTCGGTCGTCCTGCTTGTGAGGCACCACCCGCTGCAGGATTTTGATGCACACGATGCTCGCCGTGAGATTGTCGATCATCTGCCAGGGGGGTTCCTACCAGAAGGGTATAAGGGTACTACAGGTGTGTGGTTTGGTTCTAAGGGTCTGATATGCCTCATAGTAATAGTAACGATTCAACATCCTCGCTTTAGGCCGTTCAAGCTTTTTGATGGCTCATGAGCTCAGAGTCTCCCCGTGCTCGCCTTGTAGGAGTCCACTTCTGCACCTTAAAGCCTGAATCCTGAAAATCCTGAACCCTAACCCCTAAATCCCTTAATCTTGGTGAAGGGCTGCTCAAACCCTAAAGCCCCGCCGTCTGTGACCAGCGAAGAGGGCAAGACCTGACAAAGGCACAGCAAATCAATGTCGTGTTTAGGGTTGGAGTTTAGGGTTTGGGGTTTGGGGATCAGGGTTTGGGGTTTGGCGTTTTAGATATGGGCCAGACCTGACAAAGCACAGAAAGTTACTTCAGGGGCCTTAATGAATAGAATGTACATTGTAGTAGAGTTACAACTACTTGTTAATGCGACATTAATGTTAGGGGCCATAAGGTTTAGAACAGTTTTTTGGGATGATGGGTTACTACAGAATACTGTAAGAAGGAACCCTACGGGATGGAATAATGCTATGTTGCCTCTTCTCAGTACGACCATGTACGACAGGTGGAATGCTCTCGTTAGGAGTTCACTGGACTTGGGTTTCGGGCAGCATTCCTGCATGTAACATCTGCTTCTTTGGCTGTCGGCGCTTCTCCCCTTTCTTTGTCTTGTGTAGTCCGCATAAAGGGCTCGGACAGGGATTGCTCGAGCCCACAAACTGAGGGTCTGAACGGGAAGCATACTAAGTTACCAATTGCTGGAATGCACTACCTGCTGGTTGGAATTGGGGTTAACGGTATACCGTCTAGGGCGTTTAAGGGTCGCAGAGTTCCAGGCTTATCCGGTCCATTTGCTATTCATCCTACCCACAGAAGAAACACGTCCTTTCTGTCTCCGGTGCTCTGCGTGCAGCCCACCTGCGATCTTCATCGTGCGCCGTGTGGTTGTCACAGCGCCTTGCGCGACCTGCATGGTAAAAACTTACTTCGTGGGCTGTCGGCATCTGACACCATATTAGCGCTGACCGGAACTACGTCTGTTCAAGCCTTCCTGACTCAACTTCTCAATGCAAATCGCCGAGAACGCCTTCAACAAATGTGAGAACATGAACACCCGAAGAGCTCTAAGAGATCTGCACCCTTTTGACCTTTCCGAAAACTACATCTGAACAACTAACCCATCCGGTCCTAACAGTCTCGCAAAGGACATCAAAGCCAAGGTTTGGTCCTGTCTAAGCCTGGATTGCCACATCCCTTCAAGTCGAAGCCACATAAGGCATTGAACCCTCGTCAAGTCTGGTCTCTGTCTTTCCGAAGCTCTGTAAAGCAACAGCCCTACTATGCCTAACCAGCCAACATAAAACAGAAATACCGGAGTTTCCCAAACTCGTACATGTGCCAAACAAATCAGAAGCCCACCTTGTCACCGGCGCAGGCCGCCCCGGCCACGGAGGTGGGACTGGCGACCCTTGCCATGGACCTTAGAGGGTTCTGCGGCTTCGGTTGCAGGGCTTTGGGCTCATCGCAACAGAGGGCATGCGCACAGGTGTTCTAGATGTTAGATCGAGCTATGCCCTTGTCAGTTATGCCTCGGAAACTCAAACACAAACGCTACATTGGCCTAGACACCACTGTGTAAACCCTTATACTACTTCGGCAGTTTGATCCCCAACCTTTGCTCAATTCGCAGTGCGGGTCCTGCTGGAAGCTTCAACTAGACTGGTACGACTTCCGTACGCTACTCGAGGTCTCGAGCTGAGCGTTGCCCAACGGAACATCTCTATCACTGTGCCCCAGAGTCTCTTGGACCGCGGCAGAAAAGCTATCGCCAGTGCTTAGGGTTACTGCATGTTACTGCCACTATTTTAACAACAGCTCGAATAAATTTTGCTTAATCAAAATGTTCGATGAGGTATTCGATGAAAAGCCTTTGACTTGGGATTGAAGACCGGCACTAGACGCCCTAAATGCAGACGAAGGATCGGCTCGCTCCCCTCAAGCACGGCAACTTCTGCGGCACTCATGGCCTGGGAGACATCGGTTGTTGTGTCTTGCCGGGACCGGTAGGGTGCACGAGAACTCTTGCGGATTTAGGTGCTCACGGATTCTCTGGGTCTTTATGGGACTGGCGGCTTAGGTCGGCGAGTGCTGGAGAACAGAGAGCGAGTGGAGTGGCTTGTGACATTTTGGGTTCAGGGCCTCTCTGCATGTGGGGATGATACAGCACGACTGGTGCTACGGGTGCAGGAACGCGGCCCAACTTAAACGACAGTTCGGAACTTGGCGTGTTTAAAAACTGTAAAATTCCTTGTTCCGAACTCGCTGACAGACATGCCGACACCTGGAATGTTCTGGTTGAGCAGTGCACACTTGAGAGCTTCCAATAGCTTCCAAGTGTTCTAAAAAACCTCATTCAATCAAAAACAACATAAGCCAAGGGGCGCGGCAGGGAACTGGCAGAGAGAAGCGGGATCACCAGAAAAGGTGATCTGAATCGCCACTTTTGGGCGGAAAACGATTTTGTCTGCAGCACACGTGCGCACGGTTGCGAAACTCCACTGAAACTCCCCAATGCCCTCAGCCCCCCACACCCTGAACCCGAAAGTCCCGCCTCGATAAAACCCAAAAGAAGCTGTATGCGTCAACAGCCTAGCCTTGCAGCCACTGCAACCCAAGCTTTCTGCATTAAGCCGGTGATTCTTACATTTCTTACCGATTGCCATCCCAACGAAGTAAGCTTCAGATGCCGGAGCAGGGATCAAGAAGTGCTAGAAAATAGGGGGTTGTGCGCTCAGAATTGGCAACACCAACTTCCCGATCTTAGGCCCTAGGCAAGAATCAGACATGAGTGTTCAGCACTTCCAGGGACCTGTCAGATGCTCAACCCGTTTGGCCCCCACAGTGCCCGGCATACTTGCTCTGGCTGCTCGCTCCGCAGCCCATATGCTGGGAAGAACAATGCAGTGTCCAGGGCACCCCCGATGATAGCTTTTGGGTTGGGGATTGGTACAGCATGTCACGATTTGACTTCCAGATTTCTGCACCAGCTCTTTGATTCAATTCGTTTGGACATCGCATCAAGCACTAAGCCTAACAGTTGGGAGTTCGAGCAGCACGAAGTTTGGGGATTCGCATGTGAGTGACTTGCTCGGTGTTTGAGGGTCCCTCTTGAACATAACATAGGTGTCTAACAGAAGCTCCTCCTGGGCTCAACTGGATCGTGCAGGGCACAGACGTTCAGATGATCGACTTTCTGAGCCTTATAGGGCTGGTTTAGATGCCTTGCGACACCACTTGAGCCGCACGAGACCATGAGAATGCAAGGCAGGTTCGGCGGAGCGTCTCTTCAGCTTCGGATGCAAGACACCGAATGGCTCAAGGGTCCCAAACCGGCGAAGACCCAAGACCAACTCCGAAGCAAGACTGCGATGCTAGGGAGACAAGTTTGAATGCTCGGACTCCAGCACGGCGCGCAGCGACCTCTGCTTTTTCGGCAGCAGGCAGCAGAATCGAAGCGCTCCGGAGAAAGGCCACCCACCGCCAGCGCGCCGAGGGGCGGAGGCCTCCCAGCCGGGAGAGTCGAAGATCCCCGAGCTCTCTCTCAGAAGCCACGACCACACGGCCCCGGCCGGGCCTCGGATCAAAGGTAGATCCACTTCTCGCCCACCATCGGCAGTGAATCGAAGGTGGCTTGGAGCTTCTGCTGCACCTCCTCGCCTGGGCCGGTGGGGTTTTTTCTGTGGCAAGGACGAAGATGCCGCTTCATCTCGCCCGAGGCCCGGGCTGAGCCGGTTGATTTCCAGAGCAACTCTGAGGTCGGTGAGCTGCTGCAGCTCAGAAAAGCTCTCCAGCAGTGAGGTGGCGCCGGCAGAGCCTCGGCCGGGAGACAGGGGCCAGCTAAGAATCTGCGAGTGTAGACAATGCAAGGCTTGGATGAAGATCAAACTCCAAGAAGGGATGTACGGTATCTCCCGATATCGGCCCGCCGGGTAAAGCGGCAATGTGGCTTCGACTCCCTCCGAGGCCCCGGGCCGATGTTGTTCTCGTCCAGGCTCAAAAGGAGTCTCTTCAGCTCCGGCAGCTCGCGGAGCGCGGAGGCCAAGGCCTTCGTGCCATCGGGGCCTCGGTACCCCGGGTGCACGCCCCTTCAGGCACAAAAGTCGCGAGGCAAATTGCGGCCTTCCCGAAAGGGGCACGGGCACGGGCATCTCGGCAGAAGGTTTTCGGACGACATCTCACGGGAGCCGACGCGGGAATCCAAGACTCTGCTGCAAATCACGCAGAGTCGAGTCCGTTCGGGTGCAGGCTTGGATGCATCGTGAGCTGGACTTGGGACTTCATGGTGAGCTGGATTCGGATGCAGTTTGATAGTACAAAGCTGGAGAAATGGCTGGGGTCGGCTTGCGGACCCTACCAGGCGGCCCCGCCCACAAGAGCCACAAAACAAAAAGGACAACGGAGGAGCGAAGCTGAGGCCCCCGGCCCAGGGAGTTGAAAAACAGCTTCAACTCCAGCGTCTGCAGCTCCTTTTGGTGCCGGAGGCCCGCGGCCAGGGCCCGGGCCCCATCATCGCCTGCCAAAGGCGGAAACAGCTCTGCTCGCGCTCCGAAAGGCGCCGAGGCCAAGGCCGAAGGCGTCGCCGTGGCCGCCGAGGTCGAGCTTCAGCTCCCGGAGCGGCTCCGGGAGCGTCGGCAGCGCCCGGCAGAGCGGTCCGAAGAGCCGCCGGAACCTCTCGGCTCCGCCTCGGCCTCGGAAGGCAGCGCACGTGGGTGTCTGGGCGGTGCCTCGGCTCCGGAGCTGAGCCGCCGGCCGAAGTTGCTGAGATCGAGCTCCAGCTTCTGCGGCGCTTCCTCGAGCTCTTTGAGTTGTTCGTCCTGCACGGCGGCGGCGGCCGTGGCTGCACTGCCCGAAGAGCGCCCGTGACGCGCAGGGAAACGAGCGGGCGTGCCGAGCAAAGGGATGGTTGGAAGGTCGCACCGGGGGTGGTCTGTTTGGCTTCCGGTTTCCAGGCTTCTTTGGATTGTTTGGAAGACACTTTACCCCCAAGAGCCCTGCCGTCGACTTCCCTCGGTCAGTTCGGGCCCGAAGGGGTGAAGAACTTAACGCGCCAGCCTCCAACATGCACAGGAACTCCATGGCTGGGTGGGTGAAGGTGCCCTTCACCTGCGGACAGCGACAGTCGCAGAAGATGCGAAGATGTGAGAGAAAGAGAGGGAGCAAGAAACGTCAGGAGCTCTCGTTGCCCCGCCTGGCCGGTCCGGAGGGCCCTGGCCAATGCCACGTCGACCCTGTTGCCCAAATCGCTGTCCGTCAGATCGAGCTGGAGCTGGAGCTGGCTCGCCAGGAGCGCCTGTGAGCCGGGCAGTGCTCCAGCTTCAGATGCCGTGGGGTGGCGGTCTCGGTGAGCTTGCTGCAAGTACAACAGAAGCCGCCAGCCTCGAGAAGGGGCTCCGCAGTTTCGAGTTTGGCTCCCGCAAGGCTCAGCTGCTTCAGGGTGTGATTCTGCTTGACTGCCTGCACACATTGACAGAGCAAGGAATGCGCGGAAGCATCTGGCTATTGTGGAGCCGAAGCATGCCGAAGCTCTTTGCAGTGCGCTCGCCAATCTGAAAATGCTCCGGTGAAGCAAGGGATTGGGCGGGCAATGGTATATCGAAGGTCACTGAATTCCCATCCCGCTCATCTCAGAGCTCGAAGGCCTCTGCCAAAGCCTTGACACCAGCGACGCCGATGCGGTCGTGGCCAACGCTCAGTGCCGCAAGCTGCAAAGCCAAGGCCTGGAGCGCATCGCCGTGCCGCAGTACCCACACAGACACACACCCAAAAGCCTTTACCTTCCATAATGCATCCTAAAGTGCCGCTCAACGTAAGCCACCATGCCAGCAGTGTGCATCGGCAACTGGCGGCGGGCCTCAACGACCTGGCGGGTGCCCTCCTCAAAGAGCTCGTTGTGCTTCAGGTGGAGCTGTGGAAGCTGCTTCTCCTTCAGGACCTGATCAGAAGTGGTTGGGCTGCGCCTGGCTTCTGCCTGAAACGCCCGGAAAATGCACAAAGGAAACACAGGCCTTCAGCAGTAGCGGGAGCTTGGGGCTGAGCTCACAGTGGACGATCTCCAGGCTCCTGAAAGTGACAGCGGTCTACTCGGGAAGCCACTTTAGCGCCCGTTCAAGCTTCTCCTAACGCAGTGCTTTGCGGTCGAGGCGCTCCAGCACCGGGTAGCGCTCGAGGCCCGACAGGGCGATGTCGAGGGCTTCCGCGCCCAAATCTACGAGCCGTAAGCTCTTGCACATCTCTGCCTTCTCTTTGTACACTTCCGCTTGCAATCTGCAGACGGTCTCTACATCATCCAAATGCGTGAATTTGAGCTGGTGTGCTACGTTCTGTCGAAATGCCTCCGGCACCATCGGGGCGACTCCCCCCTTCTCGCCTTCCGCCGCATCTACTTCGCGCGACAGGTTGGTGGCTGTTCGAGTACTTGACCACTCCCTCTCCGCAGCACACCAGCCTCGCTCACTATAAGGGGTATTATTCTTGATCAATTCAGTGACCGGCACTGGCTTCACCAGGCCGGTGGGGTGGTGATACATCATCACGCATTCTTGCTTTCGCTCGGCTTCTGCGATGTCAGCTTCCGGCGTTAGAGACTCGATTCGGAGCGTACTTGATTTCTCATGGCAGTACAGCACGTGCATGTGCTGCATCGCACGCCCGAAGCTGACATTCTGCTTCTGGGAGAGTCGCTGGAACTGATACAAGGATACATAATCGATGAACAGCCATTCCTTTCCCGTAAGAGTCTTGGCGAGCTTGGCAACCTGGTATCCGTACGGATCACAATGTTCCCTCGACTCCCAGCAGTGGGACAGCGAGACTATCTGGGTGCCTTCAGGCGCCTTGCCATAGGCCCAGGCTTCGACCTCCAAACGCTGACAAAGAGAGACGGATACTTCGGGCTGCCTCCAACGTCGTGCGGAAGTTGCAGGTTGCTGAAACGTTTCTTGGTGGTTGGGGTTGGAGACAAATACCGCACCTCCTCGTGTGTGACCAGTGCCGTGCGGCTGTCCACGTAGGCGGACTCCGCTTCCTGGCGGCGTGGGAGGCGCTGTCCTTCCCGGTGCAGCTTCAGGATGAAGTCGGCTCGCACCTCGGGTCGCCCCCACCGAGATCTGATCCATTATGCAAGGAGCATTGGTTCAATGCCGTGGCCCGGGGTGGGCACAAGCCGGATGTCGGCGTCTTTTAGGAAGTCCGCCAGCCCCTGCTTCTCAGCCAGGTCGTAGCGCTTGGGCTGGCACAAGTGTCACGCGCAGTTGCTGCGGCGTAGGGTACTTGCACGAATAGTCGGGCCCTCCCCACGCCCAAACCTCTTGAGGTTCCGGAGATGGATTCGGGCGGCGCAGGCAACGTGCCAACTGATCGCAGCTCAGCAGGCCCTCGCCTCTGCACGGAAGCATCCACCACGGACCCGCTTTCCGAAATCACACGGCACACATCGGTTGGGACTCTGACGATACATGCCCATGTCTGAGCTTCCGGCGATCGGGGGCAACCTCTTCCAAGATGCCCTGGCCCATGCACTCAAGCACATGCTGCAACAGACTGGGCACACAGTTTCTGCCTGGAGCCTGTCCACGGTGAAACGGTCGCCTGATGCACTCTGGGAAGGATTCGCACATGACATCCTGATTCCGTGCAGGATTTTGAGCAAGCTTCCCCAACGCTGAATGAATGGATTTCGACCCAACCTGCAATGATTTTGGGACTCCCTGAACCGTAGTATTCCACTCCTATGCAATCCCTAAACCGTAGACTTCAGATTCTTCAGAACCCAGGGTCCAGGCCTTGGAGGTTCCTGACGATGATGCGGAGAGCATCCTTGGAGATCCTCCGCTTTTTCCCCGGACCACCCTGGCAGTAACTGCGGAGTGTTGCCGGTTTCAGATCGCGCGAATCCGTCTTCGTGCTTGTCTTCCGGCTCGCTCAATCTGCAACAATACTGCGACAGAGGCCGAAGTACCACCCCCAGACCCAAAACCCCGAACATAACATGGCTGAAGTCACCGATCCGGAGGCCTTGAGCAGAGAACAAGCCGATTGCGAGAAGCGCTTCGGAATGCAGAAAAGGGGGAAGGAACAGCCACTCGCAGTTCGAGGTCCAAGGGAAAGTGACGCAGATTCATGAACAGCGTGGCCCAGGCCTGCTACGGAAATGACGTAACCGGACATGGCTACATTTGCAGAAAGGGCCCTGTGCTGCATCGCCTGAAGATGAAACCGGAGTTTGCAGGAATTCGCGCGCCCACAAGCCAGCAGCACTATGTGAATGTCCGCATCTTGGAGGAAGTCTGCCAGCTTCTTTTTGTCGGCCAAGTCGTACTCCTTGGCCTGCGCCGTCCAGCACTGGGCGTATGTTGCGAGAGAAAGTGTGCTAGCAACCCGGAGCCTCAGCCTTCATTGATTTGTGGCCGTGAGAGCCGTGCCTCACAGGGCGGCGAAGTGCACGTTACTGGCCCGGGTTCTCTGCCAAGTCTTATACTTCCTTGTCGCCCGTCTCTGGTGTCTGGGTGTCCAGCCGTGTCTCGCCACTGTTCATTGGCCCCTCGATCTGGACCTGTGTCGGAGCCCCTGTATCTCCACAGATGAATCACCCTGTACTTGGGCAGTGCATGAAAATATCCGAGCCCAACATTGCTGTTCACGGGCTGCCTATGTGGGCACATCTTTCCTAGGACCTACGAAAGGCAATACGTCTCGCCAACCTTGTCCGCAGGTGAAGCAACGATACCACACACTTATGGAGCACAGTGTACTGTGCGGCAGTGTTTGAAGCTAGGTTTGGAAACTCCATCTTCTGCCTGCAAGCACGACCCTGCCTCTCCACGAATGTCGCGGCGACCCGGCATGCAGCAGATCAAGGCCCGGCTCAGTGGTTTCAGAGGCCCCGAACGATTCCGATCCCGGGCGCTTGAACGGCCCTGGAGCTGGCGGGCGAGCTCCCGGCAGCTTCGCAGGCCATCGCCTGGAGGCTTTTTTTGGACGTGGCTCTGGCTCCGCTTCGTTTAGACGCCTCACTGAGTGCCCAGCTATCGATCGGAACCTCCTCCAAAAGGCCCTGGGCTCCACACTCCGCTGCCACACCACTGCACCCCATGGCCCTATGCCCCTTATTGATCCGGCCTCCAGCTCCTTCGCGGTGATACCATGGCCTCCGCAAGATCCGGAGTTTCGATGGCCGCCGACGCTCGTCGCGCCGCCGGCTCCGGCCCTTTTGTACTTTTGCAAAGTGCTCACATACGCCGGCCTCGAAGGCTGTCGACAATGTCGCAGAATGTTTCTGCAGACACTCTTTCCAGCTCCTGGCTAGAACGGAGGCTGGTTGGCAGCAGCTCCTCTGTCTGCATAAGGCGGTGCTGGAATGCGGGAGCACCGGCTTGCGGAGTCGAGCCTATGCTTCCAAAGCCCATACCGGAACACAACCAGCACAGCTTTCTAGCGACCACCTCCCGGCACCTGATTGGACTCTGCTTGCACTGGAACACGGGACATGGATTGCTTCGGTCTCTTGCCTGCTGTCGCTCGGTGCGAGAGGCTTAAACACAACCTTCCACCATGCCTTCATTCCTCTGCATGTACTGTTCGGCCTCGAGTTGAGGGGTTCCCGTTTTGTGTCGGGCTTGCCTCCTGGAAGTTTCAAGCAAAGTGGGAGCACCATCTCCCGCTCTCGCCCCGAACCGAACATGCAGTAAGTCCTTATCCCCGGCCTTCGGCAATCCTCAACCTCAGCCCTCCGAACCTGAAAACGGGACCGACAATTCCATCGCAACTCAGAGCGCGAATGCAAGCCCCAAACGTCCCCAATGCCTGCAGATGAGCATAAGCAAAGCGTACCAGAACCCGAAGACAGGCCACGACCCCCGGGGAAAGAGGACAGCCCTAGCTAGCCCCAAAGAACAAGCAACAAAACAGCAGAACGGCCCCCATCGGGGCCTCAGTCGCCATCCGGGCCCTGGCCTTCAGCCTGGCCATTCCCCCGTTTTTTTTAAAGGCGGGAGAGTGGAGGGCAACAGGATTGGCATTGGCATGGAGGTTTGAAGGGAAGGGCGACGCCTGGGTTCGTCGATGTGAGCAATGCTTTTCGCGCGGATTCGGTTCGAGAAACTCACTGCTGGAGCCTGTAATCGCACCCGGATTCCCTGCGTGCACGCCTCAATCTATGCGCTCTGCAGCATTCTGCCGAGCCCGAAGCACCCCCCAAGCCCAGCAGGGTCGAGCCTGGCCCCCTGTGACTGAAGATGAGCGAGATGGATGCTTGGACAAGCCTGTGAGCTTCCAGATTCCACGCCGTTCACAAAGACTTTGGGGCCTTTGTTCCTTTCCGGGGATCGGGCTTAATACACTTGTCACATCCTCGGGATTTTGTTAAGACATCGGCAAAGAGAACCCAGACCACCAACTACCAGAAAGCCTGAAAAAACTCGCAACCGAAACCCTCCACACCTGACCACGAAGCAACGAGGATCCCCACCTTCGGCTTGGCCCAGGCCTGGCAGCTTTGGCCAAGGCCTGTGCACCGGCAGGCCGGATCTTGAGCTTCAGAAAGCGTTTAGGATCCCAGTGCTTCGAAATCGGAGCTCACGGCTTTGGGGGGCAACTCTACAGATCATTGCGAGCGTGCCGGTTGTGAACTCGGGTGGCCTTGGCTCTCCTGCTTGGGAGGCCACGGAGACGCAGATAAACAGCCCCGCCCCTGACGCTGTAAGCGACCATATGTGCTATGGCGTGACAACATGTGGCTCTCACGGATGCTTCATCTGCCAGGATGGCTTCAGTTTAAACGGTTGCCGGCCACCAAGTATAGCGGATGGTGGCAAATGTCAGCTGCCATGGATGGGCGTCGGGTGGTGGGGTACTGCGAGCCGAAGCGGCCACCAGACCGCTCTTTGTTCCCTTCACCTCAGCCCCGCAGCAAACCAGAATCTCACAACCGGATGATGGCACTTTCCGTGTGTAATGGTCTGGGATTCTGATAGACAAGTTCTCGCATGAAGCTCTCCGCCGAAGTCTCGGGATACACTTGCATAACAAGACTTCGGCACTCTGTGCGGATCGGTTTTCGGGTTTGCTGAAAAGTCTTGAACCGCATGAGACCAGGCAGGTCCACGGGCCGTGGTCCATGGCCCTTCACCACGAAGGCTCTAGACATGGGAACTAAACCCAGAAGCAAGTTCTTGGAGCCCGCCGCCCTGCTGCAACTTCGGATCCTGAGCGTGAACCGACAAGTCCTCAATGACAGACCCGAATTTTACCCCTCAAATTCTCGCAAGAAGATCCACAAGCCTCTTTGAAGCCCAAGCCGTTGACCCTCCATCGGCGCCCTGCAGCCTTCCAAGCAACCTTCTTTTCATCCCCCGCACGGTCTCATCGCAGCTGGCCGAAGTCGGTCCACGAAATTCTTGCTCGCTGCGTGAGGGTTTATGGCGACGGCTCGAAATCCCGCGATGGGGATTCAAGTGCATTCGAAGGCTGAATTACTGCAGATGCTCAGATACACCTCCTCCGACAGTGCAACAGAGCTCCTCTTCAGCTTCAGATGCTGCACCGAGTGCCTAAATCACGAATTCCTTGTGTAACACTATAAAGAGAGGAGCGGATCCCACTCACGGCTATGCAGACGTAGCCAAACTGTTGTTGAAAGACATGGCCAACGCACCATCCCGGGACTGCGAAAACGGAGACGCCTCCAGGTCGGGCAGAGAAACAGAAGCGCGGCTTGAGCCGGCTGCGGGAATTTGTGACGCAGAAGATGCAGTGAAGAGTTGTGAGGTGCGGAAGCGTGATTCAGTTCGACATGTCTGAGCGTCTGGCCACGACCTATATGGATTTGCGCTGGCCGAGCCTGAATCTGTGACCGCCCTGCGTCTACGTTCCTATGCCCTAGGCTGCTGACACTTGTCTGCATTCGAACCCTTCGAAGTTAATGCTTGCCATCTCCACAAATTCCGTGCAAAGCTTCTTTTAGCTTTCTGCCTGACATGAGTTAGTCGACCGGGCAGCACTAAACCCAAACTTTGACCCCCACCTCAACCCATAGCAAGGACCTCAGCCACAGCAAGCCTGCAGCATCGTGATTTTTGTATTCGAGTCGTGCAATCGGTTCGCGATCTTCCGATATTCGCGAATCACGTCAGGCCCACTAACTATCAGTTGTTTAGTGGTTCTCAGTGCCGACGTCGTCCGGGGCCTTCGACATCAAAGAGTGTCGCGAACTGGGATTAAGAGAGTGGCAGATGCCGGCAGGTTCTGCTAAAGATAGTCGTCATGCGTGGGCAAAGCAAACTACCTCTTGATGCTGCAAGAGAGGTGTTCAGCTCGGAGCATGGAAAGTCAGAGCCAGAAGCGGCTGAGACGGCTGCCCTCGGAATCTCGGACCTTGGGCTCGGGTGGTCGAGGGCGGTTGGAAGATGCTGCTGCCGGGGAGGCCTCGCATAAGCAGAGACTCCAGGGACCCCTAACAGCCATACACTCGGAGACGCAGTCTGTTGCTCTAATTGTGCCACGACAACTTGCCAGCGGCAAGGCTAATACGCAGTGCAAAATTGGCTTCGTTCTCGTGACGGCGTGCTGAATCACTTCCAAAATTTGCTCTTAGAATCTCAATGAGCTCGGGATCGGTGGGGACGGTGGGATCAAGGTTTAGCGTCTGGAACTCATGTGATGGAATCCGGAGCTCCTGAGTTTGATTGAATTCGTGCCTTTCTCTCGACAGCTCGGCGTGCTTCACTCGAAAGACTGTGGCCTCTTCGAAAAAGCTCCATGCAACTGCCGGACCTCTGCACCTACTTCGGTGACATCGTTGATTTTCGAAGGCTCCACCCATGAATCCAAGCCTGACTACCCAAGAAGGCAAAGTCAGCACGGCTTCGTTCGCTGGCTGGCTTACAAGCGGCCTCTCTTGCCAAACCCGGACCTCGTAAATCGCCCAAACTCGCACCTACATATCCTCAGCTCTGAAGGACAGGAAGGTTCTCCAGCCATACAGGCTGCTTTGTCAGCCATACAAACTTGTCAATAACTGTCAAGGCTGAAGCTACTGCACAGGGCCAGTGGCTGAAGTCGGTCCTGGTTAAACACCCCTCACCAGAAACAAACACTGAGAGATCTACAAATCCCGTGCCTGTGGGAGGCTTTAGCAGGTGAGTCCTGTCGTCAGCCCCACACAAAACCGAGACCCACTCTACGGAAGTTGTCCTCCTCGCCTCCACGTTTATGTCCGGAATTCAACATCCGTTCAAGCAGGCAAGATCCGGCTGATACGCAGGCATCGATTGTTGAGCATTCTCGTGCATCCAGGCCGGCGAAAGTGATGCTATCATCGGCCTTCATCATGCATTAGTAGGGAGTTTCCCCGAAAATAGGGAACCCCCATATAGTACCCTAAATAGTAGGATCCTTATTATAGGGACCCCAAATAAGGTACCCCTCATTTTCGGAAACTCCCAGTAAGACATCTTCACTTTCAGAAGTGCGGCAGCTCCAGGATCCAAACTGCCAGGCAGTGGCGATTCGGGCGGAGCCTCGGAGGGCACGTGCGTTGGCGCAAAAACGCTTCTTCTCTGTGTCGTCTCTATGTATTTGTCTTGCGCCGCCAAACTTCCAAGATCTGAACCAAAGCCTAAGCCTACACATTGACTCCTTTGACACTAAAGCCAGCACTCGAAGCAGGCTACATTAACAAAATTCCACTTTCTGCGCGGACTGCAGTGTTCACAGAGGTAGTTACGCTCAAAACGGCAAGCCCAGGGACCTTTGCTTGAAGGCCACCCACCACCAGCGCGCTGGGGTGGAGGCCTCCCAGCCAGGAGAGTCGAAGATCCCCGAACTTTCTCCCCAAGAAGCCACGACCACACGGCCCCGGCCGGGCCTCGGATCAAAGGAGGATCCTCTTCTCGCCCACCATCGGCAGTGAATCGAAGGCGGCCCGGAGCTTCTGCTGCACCTCCTCGCCTGGGCCGGTGGGGTTTTTCTGTGGCAAGGACGAAGATGCCGCTTCATCTCGCCCGAGGCCCGGACTGAGCCCGTTGCTTTGCAGATTAACATAGAGCTGCGTGAGCTGCGGCAGCTCAGAAAAGCTCTCCACCAGTGCGGTGGCGCCGGCATCGCCTCGGCCGGGGAGGCGGGTAGGTGTAGACATCGGCAGAAACCCGGCTCCTCAGACTTCGGGCAGTGTAGGTTGGGGCGTGGTTTGTGCGAAATGCAGGCCAGCAGGATGACCCCAAGGCCCAAGGCCGCTTCATCTCCAGCCCAGCCACCGCCCGAGGCCCGGGCCGAACGCGTTGCTCTCAAGACCAATGCTGAGCTTTTTGAGTTGCCGCAGCGCTCGAAGGCTCTCGGCCACGGCCGCGGCGCCGACTGGGCCTCGGGCCGGAGAGGCGGGGCCCGCCACTTCGCGGGTAGAGAGATTTGGGAGTGTTGGACATCGGCAGAAGCCCGGTTATTCTGACTTCGGCGTGGGGGGGGGGGGGGGCTGGGCTGCGCCGAGAAACAGGGATGCAAGGCTTGGATGAAGATCAAACTCCAAGAAGGGATGTACGGTATCTCCCGATATCGGCCCTCCGGGTAAAGCGGCAATGTGGCTTCGACTTCTTCGAGGCCCCGGGCCGATGTTGTTACTGAACAGGACCAAATGGAGTGTCTTGAGCTCCGTCAGCTCGCGGAGGGCGGAGGCCAAGGCCTCTGTGCCCTGGTCGCCTCGGTGCCCGGGGGCGTCGCACCCTTCAGGCACAAAAGTCGCGAGGCAAATTGCTGCCTTCCCGAAAGGGGCACGGGCAGGGGCATCTCGGCAGAAGGGTTTTCGGACGACATCTCACGGGAGCCGCCGCGGGAATCCAAGACTCTGCTGCAAATCACGGAGAGTCGAGTCCGTTCGGGTGCAATTTGATAGTGGAAAGCAGAAGCTCGTAAGCACAGAAACGGAGTAATGGCTGGGGTCGGCTTGCGGCCCCACCAACAAGAGCTACAAAACAAAAAAGGACGACGGAGGAGCGAAAGCTGAGGCCCCCGGCCAATATAGTTTTCACGCAGCCCCAACGTCAGCGTCTGCAGCTCCTTTCGGTGCCGGAGGCCCGCGGCCAGGGCCCGGGCCCCGGCAGCGCCTGCCAAAGGCGGAAAGAAGAGGAGAGGAGCTCTGCGAAACGCGCTCCGAAAGGGCGCCGAGGCCGGGGCCGAAGGCGTCGCCGTCGCCGCGGCCGCCGAGGTCGAGCTTCAGCTCCCGGAGCGGCTCCGGGAGCTTCGGCAGCGCCCGGCAGAGCGGTCCGAAGAGCCGCGGGTACCTCTCGGCTCCGCCTCGGCCTCGGAAGGCAGCGCACGTGGGCGCCTGGGCGGTGCCTCGGCTCCGGAGCTGAGCCGCCGGCTGTGGCCGTAGAGAAAGAGCTCCAGCATCTGCGCTTCCTCGAGCTCCGTCAGTTTTTCGTCCTGCACGGCGGCGGCGGCCGTGGCTGCCCACACCCCCGGGCGCTGCCCGAAGAGGCCGTGCAGCGCAGGGAAACGAGAGGGCGTGCCGAGCAAAGGTGGCTCGGGTTGGAAGGGCTTCCGATTTCCGGGGTTGGGAATTCCGGCTCTTTGGAAGATACTTTGCCCCAAGGCTCCTCGCTGAGATCCCTGGCAGAGGCATGGCCGACGGGCAACAACCCTCAGCACTACGTTCGGCGGACCCCGGGAAAATGAAGAACTTACCACACTTCGAAGAAATAGTGCGAGCCTCCAACTCGGCCAAGAACTCCACCACCGGATGAGTGACCCGGCCCTTCACCTGATTGCAAACAGGGACGCAGAAGAGAGAGAAGCAGTGTGGCACAGAAGAAACAACGTCGGGATCTCTCTTCTGCATCGCCGCGGAAGGCCCCGCCTCCCCGGAACGGAGGGCCCTGGCCAGCGCGAAGACGCCCTTCTTTCCGATGTCGCTTTCGCCGAGGTCGAGCTGGGTCGACGCTGGGCTGGTCGCTCGGAGGGCCTGCGGGACTCCCGAGAGCATCAGGATCAAGAAAACAAAAGAATCCCAGAGGCATCGACACTCGACCGGAAGCACGGGCTTGGGAGGCCGAGAACTTGCACACAAGCTGTTGTGGCCCGCCTCCAGCAAGGAGAGCAAGCCCTCCTCGCCTTGGGGACAGCTCGTGCTTCCCTCTGAAAAATCTGACACAATCAATTACACATGCTCGGGCATGCAGAACTTTAGATACGTGCGCAGTCGGGCAAGAAGATGCGAAACACAGAATATGTGGACTCTGCTAATTACAGTAGTGGCTGCCACCGCGGCTCTAAAGTCTGCTCTGCACGAACGGAGCGTCTGTTCATCATTTTGGGTACAGGCGGAATGCGCTGTTCCAGCAAGCCTTCCCTGCAGCCGCCACTCCGAGGGCTTCCGAGACCCGGGCCAATGTCACACATCTCCAGGTTCAGGGAGACATCTTGTATCTTCTTCAGGCTGGAGACTGCCGTGGCTAGGGCCTTCGCCCCGGCATCGCCTCGGCGCAGATCGGTGCATGGGAGGAGGCTCCACGGCGGGCCTTGGGCCGACAAACAGAACAGTGCTCTGCGGATCGTTGAAGTGGGGTACTCCGTCGGGACGAGAGCTCCGTAGATGAAGAATGCGTGCCGGTAAAGACTTTACTGGCGGCGACCACCGAAGCAGGACTTTGCTAGAAGACGGTCGCAGAAACACTGCAGGAAGGCATCTAACTTGACATCACGTTTTATGGGCGTCTTGGGAATCCGGACACCCCTGAATGTAACGCCTAGCAAGCTGTTGTGTCGGAAAGTAATTGGGGTAAAGAAGACGATGTGGAACGATATCGATTGAAGAGAAGGCTCCTGTCGGACTGACTAGCCAAGCCACAAACTGTTCCGGAAAATGCCTGAAAAGCCTTGCAGGAGCACAGTCTCGGCCCGAGGCAGATCTTGTTGTTCTTCAGGTTCACACTGAGATTCTGAAGATCCTCCAGCACACCGATGGCACCGGCGAGGGCGCCTGCACCCTCCGTGCCTCGGGTTGCAGTCTTTGTGGCTCTGGCTTTTCGAGGGCCTGCCGCACTTGGTCTTCCCAGTATGTAACTTCCAGTTGATCTGTCAACAAGTGTTGACGAGAGTGTTTGACTGCACAAACCCATACGGTGCCAACCTAGCTCTCGGTTGAGTGGTTGTTGTCAATACCACCTCCAAAGCATGAACGTACAGAGTGTCTTGTTCTCATTCTGGTCCTGTTGGGCATGCTCTGTTCCAACTCTTCCACAAGCCTCCCCTGAGGCATGCTCTGTTCCAACTCTTCCACAAGCCTCCCCTGCAGGCGCCACTCCGAGGGCTTCCGAGACCCGGGCCAATGTCACACATCTCCAGGCTCAGGGAGACATCTTGTAGCTTCTTCAGGCTGGAGACTGCCGTGGCCAGGGCCTTCGCCCCGGCATCGCCTTGGCAGAGACCGTGTGGACAAAGCATGATGCTGCGGATCGTTGGAGTGCGGATTGCATCGTTCGACGGGCTCCGAGAGCTCCCTCTTGTCTGCGGCTGGGAATATGTGCCCGGTCCGGCAGTCCCGCCGTCAACATGCCTTTTCTGGTGCGGTGTCGGTCACTGCCCGCTGCTTGTCCTGCTTGGTGCTCAGGGCTTGCCACCCTGCTCGCTTCGGCAACCCACTTCACTCAGGATTCGATGTCTGCCGCCCTCCCTCATGTCATATGTCGCTTGGCCCCCGCTGCACCCGCCACGTGGTCGCGGGTTTAGGGTTGCGACCTGGCGACTTCTTTCTGCAGCAGCCGGGCTGAACAAAGCTGGGTCGAGTGCTAGGCAAGCCCATGTAGGACCCAGCAAAAATCAAGCCTCTCGCTTGACGTATTGAAAGTGAAAGAAACCTCGCCACGACTGGGTCCCGCGCCCAGCTGGTTACGTGAAAGGTCCACATCTAACTTCCGGCTTCCGGCCGCTGCGAGCTGGGCAAAAAAGGCCTACAGCTTCCACGCAGCAGGAGTGGGCAAAGCAATGCGGCTGCTTGAGGGGAGCTTTCGCTTCCTACGGCCCAGGCATGCGCTTCGAGACCAGGATACTGAAGCTGCAAGGGCCCCCCCCACAACCGTGCGCCTCCACGAGAGGCAGCTCCTCCTTCAGGCCCAGGTCGCTCAAGCCCCACTGCTCCTGCAAGTCTCAGGTGAAAGCCTACGCCGTCAGGCTCCGAGGCAGCCCTGCAGCACCCAAAACAAGTACGATTCCTTGCCCACCGGCAGCCAAGTGTCCTCGCTGGGTCTGCTGTGCATGGCCAGGAGGACCTGCAGGCTGCCCGCAACAGCCCGACACCCTCGGAGCCTAATCGGCACAGCCACTTCAACCCGTATGAGAGTGTACAGGAGCTGGCCTTCCAAAAGCTGATGACACTGTCGTACCGCTCCGCGCCGATCTCCTCCAAAGGCGACAGGGTCCATCCCCACTTGGTGCTGTCTGGCATGCAGCGGGGCCAGCGGGGCTCGTGCCCGAAAAGGGTTACATGATGGTTGATGTGGGGTACCGGTAGTGCCCACCGCGTACACCCCGAGAAAGGGGAAGCAAAGTAGAGCCGCTCCTTGCGGTGCATGAAGGCCACCGCTTGCTGGAAGAGCTCTTTGTCGGATTCAAAGTCGGCCTTCGAAAGGGCGGGGCATCCGTCAGGTTAAGCAAGGCATAAGGACAGTTTTAGGGTCTCCCGAGGCGTGGGGAATGGATTCAGCTTGTCTGGGAACTCCTCTTGGAGGTGGAACTCTATGGAATTATTGTGACTGGACTTGCCAATGTATTCATCTGATGATCTTCTAGTGAAGAAGTTGCTGCGCTGGAGCCGTGTAGGGTCTGCGAGGGAGTCCACCTGAATCACCCACTTCGTCTCCTTGGAAACCCTTTCTTCTCTTCCGGTTGCATTTCGTCAGCTTGCCCTCGCTGCTTGGGATGCCTCGCGCCAGAGGCGCTGCGCCAGCAGCTTGTCCCCGGCCCTTGGCAGATTTTTGAATGGGCCCGCCAACAACGGCATGCCGAAACAGTGTCGTCGCTCCCTCAACCCCTTCTGCTACAGGTGTGCGGAAGCTGGCATGAACCCTTGAAAAGCCTAAGTCCGAGCGGAGGCCGAGGGACCGTACCAGCGCTTGAAGCCTTCGCCCGAAGTAGGGAGCGATCTGTGCAGATCGCGATCGTGAGGGCCCACCCAGTAAAGGCAACTGAAAGATTGCAGCTCCAAAGCCCTGCTGTTATCTGGTTTGGCAATGTTTGGCAGGTCCGGTCGGGAGCCCGCACAAGCAAGTGGATGTGCAGGGCCTCTGACCCGATATCCTTTGAGCAGAAATGAATACCGACCGCGGTTTCAAGCAATGCATGGCCGCATGGCCCTTACATCCTTTCTTCAACGCAATCTGAAAATGCAAACCCTTTGAGAACTGACAGCGCCTTCGCACGGACCCTGCTGTAAAGGAGGAGTGTGAGCCCAATCTGCGGCAGAGGATTGGCCAGGCTGAGCCACATGCACAGGACCATGGAAGCGCTGAGAGACTTCCAACCTGCATCGCGGGAATTGCCAAGCTCAACACCGTCACCACGACGGATCCACCTTCGTAGCCTTGGAGTTGCGTGAGGGACCTAGCGAGAGTCGAAAAAAACCTTGCCAATCGAGTAACGTAAGAAGATGATGGCGAAGATGGCTTGTGGGACGTTCTCGAGGAGAAGGAGGAACCTGGCAAGAAGATGGACTACAGCTTCTGGGAAGTGCGAGGAAAACTTTCTCCTTCATCATATGCAGAACAATGCAACCCCCGCCACACATCGACCGCAATGGCCTTTTCGTTGGGGTGAGCTGCTTATACAGCAGCACAAGGAGCTTGTCCCGGAGCATGTCACAGAAAGCCACGATGCTCGAACTCCATGCAGATGAGCTTGCTCGAGACCCATCCTCGGCTCCTTCAGTTCAAGGCGAGACTCCGTCGAGATTTTCTAAAGCAAAGACAAAGACCAGCCCGAGAGCCCGAGAGCCTGTGTCCGGCGTGAGAAGCAACACGGAGAGGTGCGAGTCCAGAAGCTCCGCAGTCGTGTCCTGCCAGTGAGTGGACTTCAAGGTCTTCAACCCCGATGAAGAGTCTGAGCTCTTTTCCTACAGTTCGCTGGCTGTTTGCATCGGGTCCTCAAAGGTGAAGCAGACCATGTGGACGATCACCAGCCACTCTAGGGACAAAACGCCCATGACTTGAATCTCAACATGCTCGGATTCCATGCAGAGAACGGCGAACATGACGTCCTGTGCGCAGGGCACCGAATGCGACGCCACACTCCCCAACCAGTCCGAGTCAGCACCAGCAGAAGAACACTCCTTGTGGTCTCCTAAGTTGTTCGCCTTCATATATGCTTAGCACCATGTAGAGATGGTATCTACCATGGCCACGGCACCTCTACATCGTATGGAAGCGAAGCCGAAACGAAACACTGCAACCAGTGATTGCGGCGGACGAGTGAGCTACTTGATAACGCCTTGGCCGCAAAACTCCTCGTACCCTTTGACGTGCGTCGAAGCTGACTCTACCTTCGCAAAGCCGGAAGCATTTCAGCAACGACTCTCCGATCCTTCATGGTATCGTACTGATCCGAAATCACGGGGGCCATGCCGGTGATGCAGGCCTGCGCTTTGAAGTTCGGGGCTGCGGCTGTTTTTTCAAATCTATGCTTCAGGATTTCGGTTCCTGCCCAACGGGCAAGGCATCCAGGGCCCAAGCTTGGGCAGTTTTCTTACAATTTGTGGTGGTTTGGGCGGAAGGCTGTCGCACCAGACTGATGGAAGGCCGTGTATCTAAAGCTGGTGAGGGACATGCAAAACACCGATCAGAGCCACAGCAGCATCCACAAGATGACAGCGAATTCAAAACCTCCCGGCACTTGCATGTTTGCAAGAGGCGAACCTCAAAAGTGCCAAACAAAATGCGTAGAACTCCAAACCAAACCGTGGTATAGCCCCACACCAATGAGCTAGCTCCACGTTTTCAATGCTTGCATCCCAAAGTGGCGGCTCCTGGACCATTCAAGACCGGCAGGCTTGGCTGCGCACACAGCAACGCGTCGACGTAATTACAGCGAAGGGTGCCTTTGCCCCACGTTTCCCTCGAAACCCTGCGAACAGCTTTGCGACGGAGCCTGGGCGAAAGCCATAGTTCCGAACTTCTCACCAGGAGGAAGGCGCCATGCCATGATCAGAGCTTGCAAGACCTGCACACCAAAGAAGTGAACGACGTGCAAACCTCCCTGCTTGCGAAATAGCCACTTCTCAGCCTCACTTCCAAGAAACAAAGGTCTTTGCATGCGAGAGCCCCGGCTTGATGCAAACGTCCAAAACAACTTGGAGGCCAAGTTGAGGTTCTTGATTCATGATCATGACCCATGCATGCAATACTCAAGGCTCGCCAAGCTTTCATAATTTTGTTTGCAATCCTCAAACCTCTGGGCTTTTGGATAACAGCTCTGCCTTCCTGCTGTGCGAAAAAGATTTGCAAACGAAAAGATATTCGATAGTCAGGTGCCCACCAGCGCCAGGCCACTGCAAGCGAGGAGGCCAGCATACACCTCACGGACGGGTCGCGACTGAAGCTCTGAGTTTGAGGACATCGCCTCAGCCGAATCTTCAGATGGCAACAAAGATGTGGTTCAAGTCCGCTGACCACACTTCGACTCCACAACGAAAGCATACTTCGAAGGGCCTCTCACTGCATCGACCCTGAAACGACCACATGCTCTCTCAAAACAATTTAAGTACCCAGAATCGCGACAAGGCGAAGGGAACTCAGTGCCTCCCAGTCGGCACCATAGTCTTTCGACAACCTCCGAGGTCGTTCTGCAGCTGGGGTGATTAGGAGGGATTGGCAGTGCAGTTTAGCGTTTAGACTGGGCCAATCAGCACACGGGTCCTGTGCTCAAATTGCGATTTAGGCTGACTATCCGATTCAAGGTGTCTGTGTGAGACGGGCCGGGTTCTGAGCACCTCTACGACAGAACTGGTAACATCGACCTATAGCAGGCAGGAGCCTCCCCGTGCGGCTGCTCCAGGCCAAGGCGGCGAAGCTGGTATTGAAAGTGATCGTGAGAGAGATGGCAAGTAGCACCTGGCAGGAAGCATAACGGGGCCGCTGGAGTCGGGCTTGCTGTTCCGGAGCCGCACGCGTGCGAACCTTGCTGAAAAAGCTAGCCGCGTCTCAACTCGAACAGCTTTCTTCGTCAGAGCATTCCCCCAACACCGAAAGTCCCAAGCATTGCTTCCGTGGCCAGAGCAAGGCTTGCCGGCCTGCAGCCGCAAACCAGGAGCCCAAACGGTCACAAGTCACCATGAACCGGAAAGGGAGAAGGAGAACCGCGGCCTGAAGCTCAAAAGCGCACGACTTCAGGAAAGCTCGCAAAACGCATTGAGGACATACGCCATCGCTTCTTCCGCGAGCCAATGCGCAGGGACGCAAGACAAGTCAGCCACCGTGCTAGAATTCGCCACCGCCGTGCTGTTTCGCAGCGACAAAAGGCGAATGCACGACAAGATTCAGCAGCTCGAATAGCAGATGCCGGCCGACCAAAACACCCCGAGACACAGGAGAGCAACAACGATGGGTCTTGCAAGAGTGCGCCAAAACCTGCCTTGGCCTTGCGAGGTGAGCCGAGCCAATCGACACCATCTCGAATACTAAACTAGGAGATCCAACACTCAAGCACTGCCAGAGCTGCCACCCTCTCCCGAGAGCCCTGCCCACCTTGAGAGTCCGAGGCTCGAAGGACACGGCCGCGGTGGATCGATCGGTTGTTCCGTCCTGTTCCTCTGCACGGGAGACCTGACGGGAGGCCACCTTCACGGTGCAATACTCGCCGCCTCGGAGGACACAGGGAGGAGATCCGCTGCTCGTGGAGACGTCAGGTCTAAGGTTGGGGGGGACCGTGTGCCACACGTCCATAAAAACAGAAATCGTCAACACCTCCTGAAAGCAAACCCAGCCCTCAAGCTTCCCACCCTGGGTACCGGGTCGATACCATCACTTCTACGAGCTACGTGGCCTGACGTAGGTCGGAGAGGCCTCCTAAGGTGCAGTCGTAAATCCCTGGTTCTCCCTTCATACTACATGCAGTAAGAACAGGTATGTAAAGGTCACAAAGCTTTCGGAGCCAGTGCCTAGCCCAAGTCATGGAAAATCTTGACTGCGGCGCACTCCCCTCCCCTCTCTTTCGGCCGAAGAGCACGCATTCATAGTTCGCTCTACCGCGCTTTCAGGATCGCCCAAGATCATGTGCAACCCCCCGCCCCCCGCCCGCCCCAGAATTGGCATGACTCTGTGTTGAAACGGCCTCGAATGCCCGAATTGCCTTGGGACTTCTGGCTTACCGCAGGAGTTCTTAAGGAACACTCCACTCAATTAACTGGCTACACGGATCGAACCTCGACACGGCCCAACCTTGCTTGCAACCTCGAAACTCGAAGCTTGTTTAAATCAAACATGCCGCAGATGACACGTCCTTTAGTCGGACACCTAGTCAAAGGAACCGGTCCGTCCAAGCCCGAGCCCAGCCTGGTCTCTGTGTCTTGCATTCAGCGCATTTCAGGATTAGCGTGCCAGCGACCGCCACAAGGAAGGCAATGCCAAGCATAATCAGCGTCCAAACGTGCCACCTGAGAGCATGGCATTCACACTAGTCGTCGGCTTCTCTGGAAGTGAACCCTTGTTGGGTGGTTCCTACCTGACCGCTTCAGCCTTTTCGCAGCTGCTCCTCTTCGCTCGAACCTCCGGCCTCCAAACCCCGGACATGAACCCCAGATGCGCATGCTCTCTCCACGCTCAGGGCGACCCACCTGTCTTGCAAACCTCCGAAACCCCGCAGGAGCCTCGCGGTGGTCTCGGGTGCCTCCATGTCGTCTAGCTGTTTGACCGTTGGAAGGAAGGGCTCTTCGACCAGTGTGAAGTTGTTCCATCCTGTGGCAAACCGACGGAAGGATGTTTGTGAATCGTGCTTTTGCCGGGAAGCGCTTTGCAGGAGAACGACAAACCCTCGGCCTGTGATGTCAGGGAATAGGAGGCACTCCACCACCTCCATCAGAGTGATGAAAAGGAGCTTCATCGCCCTCAAGCTGCAGAGGTTCTTTGCCTCTGCGAGCTTTCGAAGTGGGACCTTTGCCCGGCCAATTCACAACCATGCAACCAGAAATTTTGGAGCTAAAGCAACCAACTGAGAAGCTTCTGAGTAGATTCCCCCGCTGAGCATAAGTGCTTGAGCAGGCAACCCTCGGGACGAAGCCTTCCGTCTAAGTGCTAGCACTTTTTGTACCTTCCTACATCTATAGGCCATCCAGCACCGATGAAAGCTCGTTGAGAACGCTGAACAAACATGTTCACATCGGGGCCCTAGGCAGGTCTCACTTCCTGGACGGAGCCGAAGCAGCGAGCGAAGGCAAAGCTTCCGCTTCAGGGAGCCATTGAGGATATGCGGAGGCTTCGGGCTTGTGTTGGAGCCGGACATCAGAATTTCTTCGAGGAGGTGGGAGGGGACAGTGGCCGGAGTCAAACTTGACGGACATGCGAAGCATGCGAATGCATCGGACCACAGCGATGCTTCGGTGGAGGAGCCCAAATATCCGACTCGCAGATCCTGAACATCTTCAATCGCCAACCAAAGATACTGATAGAGCCCCGCCAGCCTCACACACCTAACCTCTTCAACTATGCACCTCATGTTGCCGCACCCACAGGTTCCAACGTGGCTTGTAAGCCGAAAATCGCCCCGAAAGTGAGATTCCTGCCCCACCCAGCCCGAAAGAGAAAGGTGCAGGCCCTTTTTGCTTACGCGATGGGATCGCGCCCGCTGCAGCCGCCGGCCGCCGCCTCGAGGAGCCGCTCTGGGAACTTCTCACCGTTGCCTTGGTAGACAGTAGCGCAGCACAATGCAACAGAAAATCACATGAAGTAGGCATAATACAACATAATATCAGCGCAGTCCTCGAGGTCCGAAACCACGACGGACCCAAGAGAAACACGAAAACCTTCAATTGCATATATGCTACGGCAGTGGCCCCTTTTTGAACGCCCGAGCCTGCGCTCGAAGAAGGTGAGATCTAGAATCTACACTCCAGACCCGTGCTGATGTTCGGACTCCAGCACGGCGCGCAGCGACCTCTGCTTTGTCGGCAAGCCCCCAGAAGCACTCAGAAAAAGGCCACCAAAAGGCCGTGGGCCTGTTTAGCCAGGAGTGGAAGCCCCGAGCTCTCTCCCCCAAAAGAGCGTCATACACCGTCCACTCCGGGCCGGGCCTCGGATCAAAGGCCAACGCGCCCACCCGCCAGCGGCGCACCGAAGAAGTCGGGAAGAGCTCGGCTGGAGCAGGGGAGCGCCAAGTTGGGAGATTCTGTGTGTACAGCGGTACCGCACCCTCTCTACGTAGATTCTTGGGCATCTTTCGCATGACTCTAAGCTCGCATGGATGGGATCACGGCGAGCCCTGAAGGACGGACTTCCTTCAGAATCAGAAGCCGCACAGGTGGGATCACCGGGGGCCTCCACTTCGCCACATCGACGCCCCTCTTTGAATCAAAAGGAATTCAGAGCAGCAGCACCCGGGCCTCGGATCACCAAAAGGAGTGCATAGGTTTTTTAACAAACCTATGCACTACGATTGGTCTGGAGTGTTGCGTTCTCATGCTACTGATTGTAGCTTGATGCGCGATACCTTCTAAGCCTTTTAGTCTCGAGGCACAGCCTGAGGAGCCCCAAGTGGGCGAAACGCGTAGCGTGTAGTGCCGAGCGACGACGAAAGGTATCATCGCCGCGGCTTGAGTGTGTAAGTTATCTGAGTGCCTCGGATCACCAAAAGGAGGATCTCCTTCGCGCCTACCGGCAGGGCATCGAAGGCGGCCCGGAGCTGCTTCTTCTCTTCCCAGCCTGGGCCGAGGTTTGTGTGGGAAAGCCCAGGATGCTTTGACAAGGGCGAGGCATCGGGAAGAGCGCGGCTAGAGAGGAGAGCAGCTAAAGTAATGAAATATGACTCTGAGGTTGCCCGATGGCTCAGAATGCCCGCCAGGTGGGGATAGCTGATTTGCCCCGGCGCAAATTGCGAATTTTAGGGGACGATCCACTCTAAGATAGCATGTCAGCTCCGTTTAAGGGTCAGGTGGGTCAGGGCCGTACTTTCTATTTTTCGGATATGAAAGGCTCAGACCTCGTCTGAAATTTGTGTGGGGGTTTTCTGCGAATAAAACCAGGGTTTGCCGCAGCATGGAGTATAACAATCGCTGTCGAAGTGCATTGTGTCTTTCTGAGAAGAACCCCTTGGAATTTGGTTTGGGCGTGCAGAGGACACCTGCATTCACCGCTGTGTTCAGCGACTTTGCTGAGTTTTGCAGTGGGGTTTAGGCGTAGGATCCGGTATCTGGTAGGGCTTTAAGCTCTTCCGCTTTGGGGTTTTAGGGTCTTGGGGTTTCGGGGTTCGGGGTTTAGGGTTCGGGCGTCCTGGTTGTGGGGCACCGCCCGCTGCAGAATCTTGATGCAGACGATGGTGGCAGTGAGATTGTCGATCACCTGGCCAGGGGTTTCCTACCATCAGGGCTAATTAGACTCAAGGTTTCCCACCAAGGGGTTCCTATTCCGGCTCCCATAAGGGTCTTACAGGGGCTGCTTTGGTTTTAAGGGGCGTATGCTATGCGTCACGCGTCATATTACGACTCGCGATCATCACTCTGAACGGTTTAGAGCTGATGGCGCAAGAGCTCAGAGCCTCGCCGTGCCTTCTGGGGCTGTTCGGGCTCACGGACCAACGCTTCACTTCCAGGAAGAATGCGATATGATGACGATGGGCATCAGCCGCCCGGCCTCTGGGGGGGTCAGGTCTGCGGAGAGGGTCCCGTCCCCATACAGTTCATGAGACGGACAGTTTGGCTTTGGGTTTAGGGTTTAGGGGGATTGAGGGTCTGGGGTTTGGGGCTTGCGGTGGTCATGACTCCTCTTTCCACTTCTTGGCATCCATAAACTCCCAATCAGCTCCGACCAGCCCAGAACTCCAACTGAAACTCCCCAGATTATGTAATATAAGGGCCTTAAGAACTAGAATGGGGTTTTGAATTTGGTGAATTATGAGTATATGCTCAAATTTTTAAACATGATGACGGAGAAGCCCAAGTAAGAAATAGTATTGGTCACCATTCCGGCTTCTATAACGTGCACAACTAGTTGCTTCCGTCGCTACAGGCCTTCTCCTGCGTCTGGCGAACGATGAACGCCGTGACAACTGCGAAGCCATTCCTTGAGTCTTTGCCAGTCTGCGTGGTCTTTCAATACTCGGAGGATTGTCTGGTCCAATCCCTGAATAGTTGGACTCGGATTACGGAGGCTTCTACGCTAGCCGTCTACCTACATCAGCTTTGTGTGCTTTGGGGTCTGTTCTAGAAGGGCCCTGCAGTTGCTGAAGCTCGCAGACTTAAACACGGTTTCTGCGTGGGTTCGGAGAGACAAGGCGCCCGCACGGCTTGGGACCCCAAACCCTAAACCCCAAACCGGAACCCTTCCAAAACTCCAGGAAGAGGTTCGGGTAGTCTGGCTTCGACTAATTAAGCAGAGGATTCATGGCAATAGGAGTAATAGGAGATATGGCACAGGACCTTCTCCCGCAAGCCCGGCTCTACCGCATCTTAAATCTTGCTCAGGGCACATGTGATCGATGGACTCCACCACGCACATGGCAGGCAACAGAAACAAGATGACGCTGCCGACCTGCTCAAGATTTCTGACTTCTTTTGTAGGGACAGGGTTTGAGGCTCAGAAACCGTGATAGGGCAGATGTCGAGAGAGACATCGTACCAGACTTGTGCAAGGCTTGCGCACCTGGACCTTTGCAAGATGTTGTGCGGACAGCCTCACCCAATCATGGAAACAAGGTCAAACCTGCGTTTGGAAGCCCACAATGCCCATTCCCTGCAATTCCTGCCAACTTGACACCCCAAAAACTCTCTAAAACCGACAGCGAAGTCCAAAGCCCTAAACCAAGAAATTTGAAAAAACCCAAAAACTGAAATCTTGCACCGGCACAAACTCGGTTGTAGAGTTTTAAGGGTGTGATGAGGGAGCACCCAGCACCCACCACCCTGAACCCAGCTTTCACTCTCGGGGCCTCGAAGAGTCCTTTCATCAGTTCCTCCTCGAGGAGCTCGTGTCCTACGAGGAGAGACTCAGAGAGTCTTCGGGTGACAGGATTTAGTTAGGGTTTTTTGGTTTAGGGTTTCGGGTTGTCCTAATGAGGAGAGATTCACAAAATTTGGGTGTGAAATTTTTTGAGGCTTAGGATGTAGGATTTGACGTTCAGGCTTTAGGGTTTAGGGTGGTCCTAGAGGAGGATTACTGGAGAATTATTCGCAGTGTTTTTGGGGCAGGTTTCGGCCCTCTGGTTTCCATGTCATGTCAGGAGCTTAAGGCTTAGAGTGCTCACTGACGGTTCCGGGCTTCGGTGAAGACACGATTGGCTTTCAGATCCTTGGAACCCAGAGCTTGCGGCGTTTGGGGCTTCGAGTTATAGAAGTACAGTTGCTTGCGTGAACAGAGCAGGAAGGGCAGAATGTCGGTCTGCCGTGTCACAGTGCAGAACCCTCTCGCAGCCCGGCAATCAGTCGCTTCTAGACCCACCATGAACACGCATCGGCACTTTCCATCTTGAGGAATAATGGACGCCCCAAAACAGACACAAGGCCTTGGAGCTTTAATGCTGAACCCGAACACGTGAAAGAGGTAGCCGCCTTCTGCAGATCTGGCATGAATCCCCGCCGCATGGTACGTCCACATCCTTGAAGGGGATCTTTGGAGATGCAAACGAGAAGGTATGGCCAGGGTTCAGAACAACATAGCATTGCTTATGTTCCCCTGAAGGTATGGGCATTCGCAACAGCTGATAATACTCAGGCTAAACTTGAATCGCTCTGAGCTCACCATCCCTCAAACCCGAAGGTACTAGCTGCATTTTACTCCTGGTTAAGAGTTTAGGTATAGCATGAACAGGGTTTAGGCGGTCTAGGTAAGAATCTTGAATCCACAAAGCCCCAGTCAGGAATGATTTCTTAACCACGTTGAGAACACGACATCTTA